AAAAAAAAAAAGGAAAAAACACCAACTGAAAAAAACAACACAGCTATAGGTAGATCGAGGAGGATTAGCATACCAAGATCGACGAAGATGAGCAGACGAAGACAACAGAACACAAACGACAACTAAACAAACCCAGATCGACCCAAGCGAGGAGCTTGAAACCCAAAAATCAACAGCAATCGAAGAAAAAAAAAAAGGAAAAAACACCAACTGAAAAAAACAACACAGCTATAGGTAGATCGAGGAGGATTAGCATACCAAGACAACAAAAAACCAATGACAACTAAACAAACCTAGATTGACCCAACGGAGGCGCTTAAATCCAAAAATCGAGACCATTCGAAAAAAAAATAGAAAGGAAAAAACACTAACAGAAAAAAACAACACAGGTCTAGGTAGATCGACGAGGATGAGCAGACCAAGATAATCGAAGTCTGGAGGTACGAAATCGACGACAAGTAAGGGACGAAGAAGAAGCGCTCTTGGAAACCAAGAGCGATGGAAAACGAACGAGACTGATGAAAACCCTAGCAAACAAGGTCGCTTTGCTTGGACGAGTAAATATCTAAGCATCAAACGGCGTCATTTTTTGCCCAATCAAAACGGCGTCATTTTTTGCCCAATCAAAACGGCGTCGTTTTAAGGATAAGATAGTTTCTACAGTAGGAAAGCCTCTCACTCTTTTTATATGTGTAGGATAAAAAGTTGCATAAATTCAATATATTCGAATAACTTTTTAAAAGTTTTTAGCAACTTAAGAGTGTGTATGATGTATATTATTGAAAAAATAATGTATTTTAAATAGTGATACGATGAGAAATATGTGGTTAAAAAGTAAGAAAAAATTATTGATGTGATGAAAAATATTCTTTTATTGAAAAACGTGCGATTAAAAATGAATTATGAAAGAATGTATTTTGAAAAATGTTTGTCTAACGAGGGCTAAAATTTCACTACTTGAAAAATATATATTTTTATTAAAAATTTACGTATTTACTGCTCAAGTCCTCCTTTTTCAGACAAATGTACAAAATTTTATTCAGAACCCTCTCAAAACCCTAGGATTTTGAATCCCAAAACTCTCCCAGCGAGGACTCCGGCGAAATGCCCGGCGTGACGTCAAGTTCCAGCGACTCCGCCCTCTCCATTGTTCCCCATTCCTCCGACTCACAAAGCCCCAGAGTTTACCCTCTCCGTCACCATGGTCTCACTCCTCCACTTGCCCGCGTTTCGATCTCTTGGGCTCGTGGCAACACGCTCCGCGTCTCGCTCATTCAGTCCGAAGCCGTTTCTAAGCAACAGACTGGCGGAGAAGTGGTAGAAGTGAAACTAACCAATATGGAAGGAGGAGAAGTCACCGACGGGCAGTGGCGAAGAATCGCATATGGGTCTGTCACTCCATTCGCGCTTCTACAGAGCCGGAAGAACTCAATGGACTCGTCGCACCGCAGTAAAGACTGGTACTTGGTCCAAGATTTTTTTCCTTTTGAATTAAGGCAATGTGAATTGGGAATTTGATTAATCTTTGAATAATGGTGCAGCACTTACAGAGTTTTAAATGACTAGAGAATAGTAATAGTAATAGTAAAATATCGCGTTCTATTGTGCGCAGTTATAAAAGAAACAAAGTTGTGAAAATTTATTTTCATATGATCGTGGACCTATCTCTAAATTACCTTGACTTGGCCACGGGCCTGTGATTCAGGAAAAAAAAAGGTGATAGTAGTGATGATTATAATCATGTTTTGCTTAAATGACACCGGAAACACACCATGGAGCACAGCAAAGGAGTAAAATTTAATCTGAATAGTTTGATATAAAGGGATTGAGTTGTGAGTTGTGATCTTCCATAAACATGGGTATAAATAGGAATTAAGCAACTTATGACTTGAAGTAATTGTACACAGTTAGGATTGCAGGGATTTCATCTCTTTTATAGTTTTCTGCTAATTACCCTTAGGCTCTGGAAAGTTGCTTCTTAAAGTTTGTTCAAGAAACATTACCTTATGACCCATTATACTTTACTATAAATTTTCTAAAAGAACTTTGTGAAAGAGAAAAATGGTGATCCTTGTAAAGTTGACAATAATGTTCTGTAAAAATAACAGGTGGGAACATGTAATGGAGTACAGCAGGGAAATAAATTCTCTTCTTGCTAATTCGAAGTCATCTGGTAATGTGGTTATAGAGGATCCAAAGGCATTATTAAAGGTATATATCGATTTCTCAGTAGGTTTCTGTTTTGTGGCAGCATATTTTATATTTAAGATTCATTATTTGACTGGTCCTTGTAAATCAGAAAGAGGAGGAGCCAACCAGTTTAAAAGCTGCATGGGAGCTGATGGAAATATTTTATGCAGACAAGCAATCTGAGACTTGTATTCCTGAACGGTTGCTTGATTGGTTGGCTGTATGACTCTTCCACTTAGTCACTTATCTATTCTCAATGTTCTGGCGTTTCTTGAGGAAATATACTTCTTCTGAATTAATGCATATTTTCTTCAACAGGATTATGATTGTCTGTTCTCTGGAACTCAGCCAACTGTACATGCAAAACTTGTTGATTTCCAAAAACAACTTGTAACTTTACAGGTCTTGGCTTATCCTTAATCCTTACATTTGATGTCTTCAGTTTTCAACTTGGAATCGGCTTTTATGGTTTTGTGACTATAATTTACCTTTAAAATTTTGCTTACTGCAGTTGGTACCTTGACACATTTTTAAGTGAATGTTTATGCTAAAATTGTACAACTTTTCTCATTTTTTTGCCTGCTAGGTAATTGAGAATGATCCTAAGTACTGGGAAGCAATGTCCTCAGCCTTAGCAGTTGGCTGGCTAGATATCGTGGTAAGGAATGATTTTTTCGCATTATTCACTTCTATGTTAAAATGCTCCCCATAATAGGCAAGTGGGCTGCTTCTTGAAAAACTATCTCACTACAAAGCATTAAATTCAACTTACTACTGGCAGGTAAAACTGTTGCACTTGCATGGATCTTACCAGTTTGACCAGCTAGGAAATCGCGAGGTCAGGGAATGCCACCTATTTCTCATTACACAACTTCTACTGCTTGATCCAAATGGATTAACATGATTTTCTTGGCCATTGCGTTTTGTGGAACACTTTATGGGATCACCATATTGTTCATTATTTTGCAGATTTCTTTCCCAATCTTTTTAAATGAGTAGCTTTATGTGTAATGAAAATGGTGAAAAAACTAATCAACACAGATTGGAGACACTAGCAAGCTGAAGCCATCATTTTGAAAAATCTTTAATTTTTTGTTTGGAATGAAGAAATACCTATATTTTGTTTCCTTCTAAATTTTATAGATGAGCTTCATCATTGTACAGAGGGATGACTTGGTGTATATTCTTTTCTATTCTCCTCATTACTTTGTACAATATTGCACCTTTACACCACTATAAATCAATATCAAAATAGTGTTACTTGAAGAAGCACAGATACTTGTAAACTTATAGCATATCCATTTTTTATACAAATTCAAGTTTGGATAAAGCTTGAACACTCTCCTTTATGTACCAGATATGTGTTTTTAATTATTTTTTATTTTTTAAATTTCTGATACGTGTCCAACACGGCAACACCTTAGGACATGTGAAGAAGAGTTTTATTGGTTTTGGACTCTATTGAAAATCATTATATTATTTTTGTCAATAGATAACGATTTTGTTTACTTGATAGATAGCTATTGTGATTATCAATAATTTATTGAAAATACATAATATTTATTAATTAACAAGGAGCACCTACTCTTTTATGTGCTCTATGATATGAAATGGAATAAAATAACTCTACAATGAGTTAAAGAATTGATTTTCATTCATAGCAATCTGCATCTTTTATCAAGTAAATTAAGTCTTTATTCAAAAGGAAAATCCAAAATGAAGGAAATTGTCGAAGACTCATTTGATACTCTTGAAGGTGTTGGGCTGCATGAAGTGGCTAATTTATTATTAGGCTCATGTTTGAACCCCAATTTTTTGAAATAAAAATGCATTCTTGAATAGTGTTTTGATCTCATTTCAACCACACATTTTCCAATAAAATAATATTACACGCAAATTCGATTTTTTTTTTAATTTTTTAATCATACATTTCCCATCAATACATTATTCAAAAATGTATTTTTTAACAAAAATGGGGCCCAAACAATGCCTAAATAAGCTAGAGTTGGAGAATGTTATTTTTTATAAATTATGATAATGATTAACGAAGAAGCTGATGGTTGTGATGTTGAAGAAAATGAAGTTGGGACAATTAAGGATTAAGATGAAATGTTTTCTATTTTGTTAGAAAGCTGTATTGACATACCCGTAGTGTAACGCATTCGAATTACGTATTTGAATCCGTGCTTCTTCAGTGTACCCATACTGGAAAGAAAAATACTTGTTCTGACTGCTTTACTGTTTAACTGGTCTGTGAATAATCAAGATGAGTGATGAAGGCTAATTCAAAACAAGTTTCCACTCAAACAAGGAGTGTAATTTTCTTATCCTTCCGTGCTATTCACCTCCTCACAAGTGTAGAAGTCAGCATTGTTTTTCATTAATTTAACCACACCAGAAATGCAAGTTGCAATTTTAACACGTGCACTTCTGTGTGATAGAGAAGGTAAGGAAATCTCTCTTTGCTTTATCAGTCAGTTTTTGATGGTTTAATCTGTTTGAGAGACAACGTGAGGAGATCTCTGTTTGCATTATCAGTCAATTTTTGATGGTGTAATATTATGTCATTATTCGAGTTTTTATCAAGGAATTATTGGGTACATTAAGAACTGGAAATGGAATTTGTAAGTACTAAAGCAATTCTAATCTTGATTTCATTCAATTTCAACCATTAGTTATGTAAGTTAGCAAAGTGTGTTTGACGATGATACGAAGTACAATTTGAAATCTTCTGCATCTATAACAGACAGAAAATGGACTTGTAGAAGCAGTTGCTGTTCTTATATCACAAATGCCACGCATGCGGCCTGATCTACCATCAGGAAAATTAGGTGAATGTTACCAAACCAAGCCTGAGTTTATGAAGGTAATTTAGAGACTGGAATTTTTTACCTAGTTTGACCACTATTCTGTTCCTGATGCATTTTTATATATCAGGCATGGGAGAAGTGGAGATCACAAATTACTAAATTGGACTGCAGTTCATTCTGGCTTCAATGTGATCACCATCAGACTCGGGAAGGACTGAAAAATATGCTTCAAATCATGCTGGGAAACACTAGCATTCTGTCCCATGTGACGTATCATTGGATAGAACTTTATATATCTCACTTTCTGTACATCAGGCCTTTCACTGTGGTCAGTGTCAATTTTGTTCTTATACAAGACTCAAGTTATTTCAGATCATTTATAAGTTGTATTGGGTGCCCGTTGAAAAATGAAGGGTAAAAAGTATTAAGATATGTATCTCAATATTCCTGACACGTGGACCCTGAATATTTTGTTATGATACAGGGTTTAGAAAACATGTGCAACTTAGCTCAGAAATGCATGCATTTGAAACCCATTTCCAATCACCATAAGTTGATGGGACTCATAATTGGGATTCTGGAAGAAAATATTGAGGTAGGCGACATGAAAGTTACAATAGCATTTCTTAATTGGTCGGCTTTTCATTAAGTCAAAAATATTTGACTAATCTTAATGATTCAGGTTGTTCTAGCCGAATGCTCTAGATCATTTGACCCCTGGTGAGACACTGTTTCAGCTTTACATTTTTATGTAATCATTATTGGTTGGTCTGTTTCTTCTATGAAAATTAATTATTAAGAAATCGTATGGTCATTGTTGAATGGATGCATTTTATACCCTTGTGTATGACCAGTAAATTGTTATAGATCAGATGCAGATCAGGCAACAAAACTGGTTCCATATTAAACATAATCTGATGTTAGTCTTTTGAATAGGATGATAACACATGCTATAGAGCTGCTGACAGCTGGGAGCACTCAAGCAGAAATACTTCTACTTGAAGAGCAGTCTAAACTGGGAGGAATCAGCATAGAAGAGCTACAAAGACTTGTCTATGCTCAAGTTCTATCTTCTTATGCAATGACGTGGAACGTAAGTGTTCATGGAATGTGTTCTTATGTGCATGGGTATCTCTGTCTCCTAGTTGTTTGATTTCCTGGATCAATAAGTATGCATAAATCAAAGTTACTGATACACTTTAACATCCAATTAGTCCTTTCATGGTCCAATCATCATTAACTGACAGTGCACAAGGTTTACGAGGGTGGTATTGTGCTGATATGTGGATTGTAGATGTGCCAGTTGTATGCAAGTTTCCCTTGCCAATTGTAAAATGTTTTGCATATTGTGTCTCTATGACTCATTGAATTTTCACTCTTTTTCTTCAGTCGCTTGAATTTTCGTTATAATGTAGTCCAAGCCACAAAGTTGGGTATAATTTGTAGATGTGACTCTTTTCAGAATTAGTTTTCTCACTTTTTTCTTTTTTCAAAAATAGTTGTATAGCTGTTATTCAAAAATTTAGACAATGCCTTATTGTCTCCTGCTGCTGCTGATTCCTCTTTGGCATATTGGTGGTTTTGATTTTGGTTTTGGTTTGTATTAGCTATTCTACATATTTGCCTTGCTAAAATTTATAACGCTTTCCTAATTATTTCGGTCATACAGATTGCCCCTATATATTTGACATCGTGCATGAAACAAGGAATGGGCTTGTTGGAGAACTTATTGTACAGGCAGCCTGTGCAAAATCACCAAGTGCTTCTAAAGGTATTTGAACTACTTTCTGTTTAATTTTTTCTGTTCTCTTATTTACTGTGATTGTTTATCAGTTTTCCCTTTTCTATTTATAATTGACGGCATCTGCTTTTGTGAAATACTTTCTACTGATCAGATTTGCTTTTTTTTTTCTCTCTCTCTCTCTAAGCAGAGCATAGAGATATGTCGTCTCAATGAGCTTGGCATTGTGAGTTCCAATATGATGAAGGTATGTTAACTACCGTTCAGGCTTTATAAAAAATTGTATATCATGTGCTATAAACAATTTCTCATATATTTTCAGTACTTGTTTCCTCAAATTATATTTGTAATCAGTTTTGACTTTTTGTAGATAAAAAAGATGTTTGACATTGTGATGGCATCAATCTAGCAATATGCAATTCATTGTGCTTCTATTTTCTTTGTTTAGAATGTACTTTCTGATTGAGCAGATTTATGGAGTACATAAATGGAAACATGGACAGAAAGGTTCCGCTGTATTCTGGCTTCAGCAGGCGCAAGATGAAGTTCGGTTGAACCGAATTGCCAAGCAATTATTTGATTTTGTAGGGAAGTCAGTTTCTGATGAAAGTTTCAAGGTAATAAATAGTTAAACTTCCAACTAGTATCTTGGTCATGGTCCATATGCTTGTTTTTTTTTCGAAGACAAATTTTCACTATATGAAAAATTGTTACAAGCATATAGAATTTCTCACTCACCCAAACCCTCGAGTATCTTTGGAAAAATATCAACTAAGCTTTACCACACCTATAATATTCAACTCTTTCTACAAACCACAGAGAACAAGAAAATTTTAAGACAGAGACTTAAAATTTTTCCTCTCTGCTCAATGATCGCATACAACAAGAGAAAACGTCATATATCTAAAGTGAATTTATTTTCTCAATTATTAACCTAATTTATTCCAAGGTTTGGGCTGCCTTGTCATGTGCTTGTGGTTATGGCACAAATAACTCGTGTAAGATTGTTGAAATCCATTTACCACTTGCATTATCTGAAGCGAGAACATAAAGTGTCCCAAGAACCTAGGAGCATTATCTTTAGGAACATCTTTGTTTGCATCGCCTGGGAATATGTCTCTATTTATGCAAAACTAGTGTTCAATGATATTCTTGGTGGGCAAGCTAGTGTTGGTACAGGACAGTGGCTTGGTTTGTGTATTTTTATTTAAATATCATTGAATTACATTGACTCATTATTGAGTCCTATTTCTTCTATTCCCCTGTAGTCTCTGAGCAAAGAAATTGAATGTAAAAGTCAATCTAGAATAAGCGAATCCAACTGCTTGACATTTTTCTTTGCATATCTGTATTTGTCAGCTTCCTTTTATCCTTTATTTTTCTTCCTGCAGCAATGGGAGGGACTGATTGAATTGCTGGGGACGGAGTCAAGTACAGCTGGCAGTCTTAAGTTTTTGAATATGTACTTAATCATTCCTTCATCGATGAAACCATATGTCTATAAATGGTATTTAATTCTCTACACATCATTCTCAACGTTGCTTGGTGGTTTACAGTTACAGGGATTTCAAAAGATCTCTTCTGCAAGTACATGGGGAAACCACCACTGATGCTGCTGGGAAAGCTGTGGAATCCCTAGTATCAGTATGTTTTAACACATTCTATAATACCAATTTCAAGCTAGACTACTTGTCTAGAATCTACGTGTCACTGTACTCTTACTAGTGTTTTTTGTCCACATAAGGGTTTGCTAAATTTCTTTCTGTAGAGCGAGCTTGTTGTCCTTCATTTTGATCTAAATAGTGGTTTATAGGACAAGCTTGTTTATGTTCTAAATGGGGAGCACATGGGAAAAGTCTGTTTATATAGAGAAGTCGTGCAGCCACTCGTTTATATAGGCCAAGTTTGTTCGATTGTAATATCTGATCATCCGATGATTACTTTTCTTATAATTTTTGCAGCTCATGAAGAACCCTTCCACCCCTCAGCGGTTTTGGCTGCCTGTATTATACGATTCAGTGAGTTATTCCTATCATTGAATTCTGTAAATATTGATTTTCTTGATCTGGCGGCTCTTACATTTTATGATTATAATACTCACCCTCCTCTCCTAGTACCATTCGTATAATAGATAAATCTAATGTAAGATGTGTGGAATAACTTCGGTTTAGCTTCTTTCAAACAACACGGCAAATTCCTTCTCTTATCTCTATTATTTGAACTTCCAAGTTTACATCTTTGCATCTTCGAGTTCAACAGATGTTTGCACATGATAATTCTGCTCATCACTAGATTATTCCTCACCTCCCCCCACCCCCCCACCCCTTAGTCGAGGAATTTCTAGCACATACACATGATACTTGTGTTGAACTTTCTCTTGTTCCATGCAGTTGAAATTGTTAAACTGGCAGGAGCGCCCTTTGCTCAACGTTGCTCAAACTCATCTTTTGTTGAATAAACTGCAAGAGTTGTCAATTGCAAAATTGAAGCCAGACTTCATTAATGCCGACTCACCACCCGAGGCCTTGAATTCTGTCAGACTGGCTCTTGCGACTAATTTAGGGCGTGCTATCCTCGAGGAATAATGCTCTTTCCTGACCTCACATCCTTCAATGCAGAAGGCCTCCAGTGGTATTAATTTTAATCTTTCACACCATTCACTTACAACGGTATAGAGAATTTCACCTGCTTCCCCGTAGTGTGGGTATTGAGGTAAATTATGGACGGGAGTGTATTTGTTGTACAGTAAAAACGTAAGCTTATTGTATTTGGGTTTCTGGTTATGTAATGGGTTCTGTAACTTGCAAACAGAGATTGTACAACAAAGTTGACTCGAAGAGACATTAAGCATACTTGTTTTTCTCCTCATGCCGCTTTTCTTAAAAAATTGAGCCAGAGCATATCGTATACATGCATGAATATTCCATGGGAGTGCCATCCTCTTTAGGTTTTGTTTTGGCTATGGATTCATGGAATAGCTCTTCGATTTTTGGAAATGTTTGTAATCCAGGGTAAGCTAGTGCTCGAGTCCGTATGCAATTTCTATACTTATACTGTAATTAAAATGAACACGATGTAAAAATAGAAGCAAAGACTATTCATAAATCAAAGAATGCACTCAAATTGACTTCATAAATCAAAGATTGCACTCAAAATGACAAGAATTAACGTATATATTAGAACGATTTACAGAACTAAAAAAAAAAACCAATAATAATAATACTATAACTTACCCGATCATTCCTTTGCAAGCCTTCTGATGTTGCCAAAAATGTAAGAGACGGAATCAACATACCAAAAGCCTCACAAAAGTTACTGTACAAAAATGACTCTGCCTGAGGATCCTCAAGTAGTGTAATCTCAGGCAAAACCTTGCATATGTGCTCAATGCGATAATACCAATCAGACGACGTGAATGTTCTGCCTATCGCTCGTCTGGAAGCGGATCCCCTTCATCATTTGGCATCACATCTCAAGTTTGTTACAGTTTCTTGGGCAGGTTGTAAGTCTTCTTAAGAAACTTCGAAGCAGCTTCATCGTCCCTATAACACAGAACTCGCAACAGTGTGTTTGGTTCGGTTGGATTCCACTGCCCGGAGGTTGGAGGTAAGGGAAGTCGAGATTTTGCTGAAGATCCGTACGTTTCCAAAGTTAAGCGTCGGAATCTCTCAATGAGGCTCTCTGTATCTGTACGGAAGAGCGGAAGCACATCTCTTGCTGTGGATGAGAACTTATTAATTATGTCAGCAGGCAACCCATCACCATTGGCCCAGAATAGATCCTTGAGGGACTTAAAATCGTCCTCTATAATCTGTGAGTCTAGGCGAGAAAATGCACGCAATGGCCCTCCAGCAAATAAAACGAACAAGAAACCATCAAAGGAGGCTCTCATTATGTCAGCAATAATACGTGCACGAACTCCCTCGTGAATAGTATCCGAGATAACCGTAAGATTGTGCTCGAGGTCCCGGAGGAAAGGTTCGATTCTAGAAGAAGGCAACTCGCCAACATACAGACCATCCCATAAAGCATGACTAAGATCATGGAAGACAATTTTATAGGCAACCGCCTCGCAGAGTTGTTGGATTGCTTCGACACAAGCAGCTGGTGTAAGATCAAACCTTTTTCCCAACCCGTTTGAAAAGTCTTCTAATTGGGCAGATACAGAATTCCGTAATAGAGTAATTATTCGTTTCTCGAGAACCTCCAACTCCATTCGTATTTTCTGCAAAGTATTTATACGTACACATGCCTGTGGTACCCCGAAAGAGCTATCTCCATTCAACATAGCAACCTGAGGATTCCTTCGCTGAGAATTCACTGCTTTCTCTTTCTTCCTCCATTGAAATTTTGTCTCTACGGTACACCTCGTTAATGCTGGCATGGTGGGAATATAAGTGTTCCTTGACCCTGTGTGCGGAAAATACTAGTAGATTCATCGCAAGGAATCCTAAGGAATTTTAAAATTAAAATACAGATCAGTCAGCAATATTACCACAGCCTGACTTTGCCTTTGTCACATAAAATTGAAGACATTTATCCAAGCCGGTCATTAAATCAGGGAGTAATGCTGGATGTAGTGGTATTGGCAGCTGAAAGTATGCATCCAAGGTTTCGTCAACTAGTCGTAAAACCTCGATAGCTGAAGGGGCATATCCTTCTTGATCAGATTGCGGATTCCAAACCTATAAATTGGAGGAAAAAGATGATAATTTGAAATCTATATTGAAGTTTCCAAGAATTAAGGTAACATTTTACAGTAATCTCAACAACATGCAAACACATAGGCCACCTTATGATGATCACTGATTCCAATAAACTAAAAGCTAGATAAGGAACAGACGAGGGTAGACAATTAAATGTGTGATTTCTTATGTATTGTCATATATAATCTATTAAACCTGCTGAGCTCAATTATAAATTTTGCATCTAGCCTTTTCATAAAAGAATAACTGGAACTGGCTATTTCAAAAAAGAATAACTGGAACCAAAACGCATACTACCGCAGCAGAAACAAGAAAATCAATAAAACCAAGTACTCCATATTCCATTACTAAGTTTCTTCTTATCAGTAAACACACAGTTCTGATTACAACCTGCAACTGGAAAGATGACCAAAAGTGTTAGAATATTGTTGCATTGAATAATAAGGTCCCAGATAAAGGAAAAAGAAAAGGAGAAAATAGAAATCGTCCTATGGTAATTACGATTTTTGAGTCATAACTCTTACCTAAACTAAGCCTATGTTTGGCTCGTTGTTTTGAGATGATTATAAGCAGCTTGGTCAAAAAACATTTTTTGTCATATCACTTTTTATCCACACATTTCATAGGATCCACAAGTACTACTCACTTCTCCACCACTCATTTACGCCTGTTTATAAACACCCTTATTTATAAACACCTTACTAGACATACCCTGAGTCATTGAAAGAATACCCTGGGAAGTATTAGAAACTTTTTAAATTTCTGCACAATCTTTTAATTGCAAGTGTAACCTAGTACTGCAGTACATTCCTACTTAAGTGTACACACAATACAAGTCATATGAGGTCATAAGATTTTAAATACATGTATTTAAGGACTTCTAGAGGTCAAATTCAGGTTATACAGCATTGTGTTCGGTTCAATAAAGGAATGGATCAGACACGGAACATATACCTCTTGTTGAAGAGTTCTGTCAATCCATTCCTTCAGCCTGTCTATTCTTGTCTTTATCCAAACTTTAACCATGTTAGCTATTGAGCCTTCAGCTTCATAAGGAGGCATCTCACGAATGATGGCCTTCCCACCATCATCGCTATCCACTGAATCTTCAACAGCAATATTGACAAGATCTTTTTCCAACTTATCAGCGGCTCTCAGTATTTGTACAGCATCCGGTGTCAACTCTGTTATACCTGCAATAAATTGCTTCAGCTCATTTCCATAGCAAGCATGTAGCGTGGCAACAGCAACACCAGCGGCAAAAGGGTGCCATCTCTTAAAGATAGGACTGAATATGTCCTTTTCTTTCATTGCAAGATCCCCAACATCCTTTGCAAGAATAGCAAGGACAGGAAGGGAATTTAGCTGGTTTCTTGATAATCTTCTGCTTGAATCTGCCTTTTCCATTCTCTGCAAATCCAAAATTTTCATTCATTACCCCAAATATATTTTAACTATTTTTCCGTAACTATTAAGGTAGCGTGACTACATAGACCAAAATATGAGGGCAGTGTGTCTCATTTTAGAGTTTTCAACTTCAAAAAAGATCTTATGACAATGACACCAACTATATGTACATTACAAATCACTTAATTTCATAACATGCCAGACAGCAGCTGGCTTTCATTTTTATTCTCTATAAATACTAATTGCATCTTCAAAATGAAAGGATTAACACCCCCCCCCCACCCCCCCTCTCTCTCTCTCTCTCTCTCTCAAGGACCAATTTCAAGGCAGATAGATTTTGAAGGAAAATGACTTGTTTGCTAGAATTGTAATAAAAATTATGAAAGCCCAATTATATGCATGTATAGGCTAAATAATATTACATCTTTATAAGCAGAGATATGTTAGTGATGCTCTTTTTTAAATGAACTTCTTAATACCGTCTATGCAGAAAGTCATATTATGAAAGCCCAATGAATTGCATGTGTTGGCTAAACAGTATTACCATCTCTATAAGCAGAGACGTTTGTGATGTTCTTGCGCACGAATTTCTTCATATCGTTCCATGCATAAAATAGGTCATAGGTCTACAAGTTAGGATGAATTCTTTAAGATCAATCTCATATAGTTTGTCAACTCTTGGCCAATATTTTGCACCATTTTTCGATCCAAAATTCATAAATTTTCTATTGGAACTCATCCTGCACCCTCCAGCGGCAGAAATTATGTACCCATTACACCATTGAGGCATCGTTACAATAACTCAAGTCTCAACTTCATTAAAGTTTACCTTCTAAATTGTTTGATGAGAATTCAAAAACTGAGAGGAACTTGCCTGAGCAAAAGCTGTGCGGAGTGATGACCTGATGTAAGTGTCAATGCTGCCACGTGCCACATCAGTTTCATTTTTTCTTCTTCGACGATACTCATTTGATATATCTTCAACTAAGATTCTGGCAGCTGATACCCCAATAGAAACAACGCTTTGCATGGAATCAATTTTTCCACTATCAAAAGTTTCATGATATGCCAGGAGTCTTTTCTCAGCCCAACCCAACATGGCAGTCAATGTAGAACTCAAAATCTTAGAGTAAACTGGATCCTTCGACTTTGCATCTTTTGCAACTTCAGCAAGCTGATTGTCAGCAGCATATAACAGATCATTTTCAACTTGCCCAGTAGCAACATATCGGTTGAACAGAACCCATGTAAAGCATAGATTGTGTAGCATTTGGTTCAGTCCTAGGATCCCCCAAGTTTTCTTAATGAGATCCATAAGCTCATCAACTTCCTCTATAATGGACGTTTCATCATTAATATCAAAGCAAGCTTCTAGAAGCATTTCATAGAGCCGAAGATTCAATGGGATAGCATCTGCCCAGTGGCAGGACTCCAACAAAGATCCATCATATGATCTGCTAGCAAGTGCCATT